TCGGGCTTGAACTCATCTAGTGCAACCAAAAGTCTAGAGATACATACCAACTCACTGAGCAGAAACGCTTCATGCAGAAAAAAAAGTTATAAAAATTCGATGCTCAAATTTAAACAAAAATAAACATAAGTCCCCTTCCCCTTAGGACACATACACGCACACAAAAAACGTTTTGCCCATCAAACAATGCAATAAAATGCTACCAAGTCGTTAAAAAACTCGTCAAACTTATTATGTCGAAATAACGAGAAAAAAAATGTGAAATTTCCACAAAACGAAAAGGTAAAAATGTTAACCAACATAAAAAAAGCAAACTTCGTTTAAGCCAATTGTTGAATCAGTCAAGACAATTGTTGAATCAGTCCAGGCGTGTGAAGTTATCTCGAGATTTGTTTTCCTCAAAATTGAATGAGCTGATTTAAGAAGTTTGGTAGCTAAACTTGCACCGCAGAGCTCTAATTTGGGAACAGAGATTGCTTTGACCGGAGCAACCTTTGTTTTGGAGGTCAGTAGAAAAGCAAAAGTTTTGCCATCATCATTGGTAATTCTTGCATAGATTGCGGCTGCATATGCTTTTTCGGAAGCATCACAGAATACGTGAAGTTGAACCTCCTTTATTGGATGTGAGCTCATAGATCTTGGTATCTGTAGTTCCAGTAGTTGAGGCAATGTTCCGGTGAGCTCATACCAGTTTTCCTTGGTTTTCTGATCGACTTCAGAATCCCAATCAAAACCTTGGACCCATAGCTGTTGCATGAGACATCCCATCGGATCAAACAATTTTGAAATTGTGGACAGAAGAGTCCTCTTTGTAAGCAGTTTCAGCTCTGGTAAGGCAGTTGAAAAACAAAAGATGTCCTTATTGGGCTTCCAACTGACTCCTAGCGCCTTGATTTTGTATTCGTCAGAGAAAAATTCCAGCACATCCGATTTTTCGCAGAGATGTTCTGGCAATCCTTCAATTATTTTAGCATTGCTTGAAGTCCATTTTCGTAGAGGGAATTCATGAGAGTTCAGCTCTTCGCATAAATCAGAGATGAGTCTTTCTGCTTCATGCTTATCATTAGCGCCACCAAGAAAGTCGTCTACATAGAAACAATTTTTGAGACTTTCTTTGATCATTGGGTTCTTAGATTGATCTGCTACTTCATTGAGGCATCTTGTTGAGTGAAAAGCTGACGAAGCTATTCCATATGTAACACGTGTCATCCTGAGATGCTTGATTTCATCCGATTTATTTGATCTCCAAAGTATGCGATGGAAATCCTTCGATTTGTGCTCTAGAGCAACTTGTCGGTACATTTTTGCGATATCTGCTGATAAAGCAATTGGGTAGAACCTGAAGCGCATGATTATCGAGTAGAGGTCGTTTTGTACCGTGGGACCAACCATCAAAGTGTCGTTGAGTGATTGTCCGGTTGATGTTCTTGCAGATCCGTCGAAAACTACACGTAGCTTTGTGGTAGTAGAATCTTCCTTGAAAACGCAGTGATGTGGCAGATAACATACGCTATCAACTGCCTTGTCGATTTCTCCAGGCAAGTTGTACTCCATATGCCCCATATCGAGAAATTCGTCTATGAATGCGGTATAGCGATCTTTTAGTTCTGGATTCTGTTCCAGTCTTCGCTCGAGATAATTGAATCTGCGTTTTGCTTGTGCTAAACTGTCGCCAAGTTGACTATTGGGCTTGAAAGGCAGCTGCACGGTGAATCGTCCATTTTGTAGTATGGTTGTTTCCTTAAAGTGAGATTCATATCGATCTTCTTCTGTTGTTGTCTTTTTGAAATCAGGAATTTCTTCAAATTCCCAAAATTTCCTTAGACTATCGTCAATAGACACATGAAATGACTTGAAGTAGGTTGTTGGAGGACCGGGTGTTCTGCCGCTAATCATTCAACCAAATAGAGTGTCACGTGCATAAAGCTTGTCTGTAAGCTTAATCTTTTCGCAGCCAACAATGTCGTTGTAGACATCACAGCCTAGGATTATATCGATTTCCTTTGGTTTATCAAAGTCTGGGTCCGAGAGCTTAAGACGTGTGATATCCAAACTGTTCGGTATATTCGCCCGTTCTCTGGCAGGTAGCCAGAAAGTTTTTGAAGAGTGAAGGCTTCAATATGTAGAGATTGATTCTGAGAATCCTTCGTTTCCAGATTGACAGAACCAGATTTCACAGTTTTTGCTCCTCCGCCAACTTGAGTTAGTTGAAGAGTCAATTTCTTGATTGGTAGCTTGAGTCGGTTAGCAGAGCTGGTTGTAACGAAACTGCATTCAGATCCGCTGTCCAGTAAGGCTCGACAATTGTGATAACCGCCATTTGCAGTTTTCACCTCAATTAGTACAGTTCCCAGTATGGTAGTGGCACCGGTAGTACCCCCGTAAACCGCAAACTTATTTTCAGGTCCCGGTTGCTTGTTTGGGTCTGTATGGATGTGAAGTAACGGGTGATGACCCTTTCGACAGGTTTGGCACGTTGACTTCGACTTGCACTCATGATTTTGGTGTCCAAGGGACAGGCAATTGAAGCATAATCGCTTTGATTTGGCTTGTCTTCTATTGGAAATAGACATTTCCTGAAACTTTGTGCATTGATACACGCGGTGATCACCACTGCAGCATGGTCAGATGATCGTCTTGGCAGAGTTCGTGTGGTATGTCTGTACCTTGTCATCTTTCCTAGAGTTTCCAGATTGGTCTGAATTTCCTTGATGATTTTTTCTATGAATTGAAGGTAACTGGAGGTCCTTCGTAGCTTCTAGGGCGCGAGATCGTTCCTCCAAGAACTTCTTCATCTGTTTGATTTTTGGCACGTCACTTCCCGCGCAGGAAAGTTCCCATTGTCTTCTAGTTTCAGGATCTAATTTCTTGGCCAAAACATGAACCCAGATCAAATCGCATTGATCAAATTTTAGTCCAAGTCCTGTCAGTGCCATCGTGTTTTCCGTGTACATGTTAATCAAGCTACGTATTGCAGCGGATGACTCATGCTTCATGGGAGTGAATTCAAAAATTGCTTCCAAGTGAGCGTGTGAGATCATCTTGACATCAGCATATCGATCCTTTAGAAGTTCCCTTGCGACTGAGTAATTCGCGTTTGTAGTAGGCAAGTGAACGAAACGGTTCATCCTTGAGGGCACCCTTTAGGTATTGCAGTTTCTGAACATCAGACAGATTCCTTTGATGGAGCAGTTCACTCAAATGCATCGCTAAGAAAGGTAGCCATTGATCATACCTTCCGCTAAATGTTGGCGAATTCAGTTTCGGCAACTTCAGGCAAGTATCTTGGTTTCGGCCAGCACCACTTTGGGAAGTGGATTTGTAGGATCCTGTTCCGCTTGCGCTGTCGTCATCTTTGACCGATTCAGTTGAATGTTTTCCTCGGTCATCTAACATAGTTGTGATCATTTCCATCAAACAATCTACTTGAAGGTAGATTTTCTCAGCTTCTTCCAATTCAACTTCAAGTGCATCTTCCTCATCGTTTAGAACATTTGAAATTTGCTGATTAAGCTCTTCCAGTTCCTTTTTCTTTCGTTCGCACATCGTGAGATTGGCCTTGAGAGTTCCAATTTCCTTGTAGGTTAGAGCAGATGCCTCTTTGTTGAGGATTGCTGAGACGGCATTTTCCGATCGGGTAATGACACCGATGTTAGCACTTCTTGATCGCTTCAAAGCAGGAAGAGTGAGCGTCACGTTGCTCATGTCACTAGCAGGTGATGACATTTTTAACTTTCCTCTTTGTTTCTAATCTTTGGTTCGTTAGTGAGTCGCGTTGCACCAAAAATGTTGTGCAGCAAAAGTTGGGAAACGAAAAATCACCAATCCGACTGAATAAAACTAGTGATTCGCAAAGAGTGTGAATTATTTCATGAGTTATAGATAGAAGTCAATTGATTTTTGTTAAATGCGGTTTTAAATAAGTAAATCAGTTCAATCGTAGATTTAGTTCAAGTAGAAAACTGAGATGTCTTTTTTAGGCTTCAACAGTAAATACGGTAGTCCAGTACCCGAGCGCTTGCTCATCGCAACACGCTTGCTCGTCGCAAGGGTAAAACAGGCTGGCGGATTCCAATTGCTCATCTCAAGCGGTATCTCCCGTAAATCATCTGACAAAAAGCTAGACTCTTATATTTCTGTATGTGGCTTTGTTTCGATATGCACAAAAATGTCTTCTAAAAGAGTTACGAGCCATGCTCAGAAAAAAATGCTTCGGAAAAAACACCTTGAGAAGTAAAATTTATACAATCAAAACAAAAACAACAAATTATAACTTTTGCTTCAGGACACCAATCAATACTTAGTATACACAGAGGCAAAGAAACTTCCGAAAACTATGCCGCCGAAACTAAAGCAGACTAACGAAAGTACAGCAGTTCAATTTCAAACATACTGAAAAAAAACAAGGTTCGACCGGCACTTGAACACCATACCTTAGGTCGCAAACGCAATTTATTACAGATTCGATGGAGAAATTTAGTACGAGATAAAAACACAATTTATATTCGACTTATTTTCGTGCTGTATTTGAAAAATAAAAACACTAGCCGGCAATATGTTTTTGTACTTTATTTGATCAATCAAACCACCAAAATAGAAAAAAAGTTACATGGTGGCGTGAAAAAACTTTTCAAATGTGAGTGATTTGTTCGTTTTTTTTTATTTGCTTTATGCCCGATAAGCAACAGCTTATATTGCATCTCGAAATTTGTTCAACTTGATCCTGCGGGTCTTTATTTACGTCACAAAATTTCTAAATGCAATACATAGCTGTTGTTCATCTAATACGGAAACGTCTAATACCAGATTACAATAGAATTGCCCTTGCAAGTGTAAAAACTGAGGCCCAAGACAATAAACACTTAAATAAATGGAGACTGAAAAATATATGGAGACCAGGTAACCCTAACTTTCCTGAACATATCGTATCAATTTCATTTTGTTTCACAATTCGATCTGTTGATAACATACTGTGAAAATTATTAATGTAATTCTCTGACCTCTGGGTAATGGACCCAGTCCATCTTCAGGTCCATTTCCAGCTAAATTAACGGAGAACCCTCTGCCACAAGGTTCACCCTTCGCTGCAACCACCGTCACTTCTGATGATGACAAGTCTTCGTCACCATCCAATTCCCCATTCACTGCATACCTAATCAGTAATTTAGCATTTCAACAAATTCACATGACAGCTATATTAGTAGTTGTTAACCCAGGGTGCGTAGCATAGCATCGTATAAGTTAACATAACAAATTATGTGCTAAAACTCCAAGAAAAAAACGGTCTATTCGACATAATGGCACTTTCTATTACTTCAGAATGATTAACACGGCCAAAAGACATTTGAATAAATGCCAAAGAACTCAGCAAAACCAAACAAAATGGCTTCTTTTTCTTAAACAGTTGTCAACTTTCGAACTTCGAAAAAAATCACGTTTAGGCTCTAAGAAAATCAAGAATCTTCTAAGATCGACACGCTCTTCATTGGTGTTGTTCTTATTCCGCTGTGAATTCTATAAACTGAAGTACACCTTTAAATCTATAAGTCATTTACGTTTTTTGAGCGGGGAACCTAATGTCACTAGAAGCGTAGCTGAACCTTCAGTAACTTGTTTGATATTAATTAGAATAGGTTTCACTGAAGTAGGATGAAACAAAATTTTCAATATCTCAGATTGTCACTAGTCAAAACCTTATTTGTTTCTCTACATAAGTAAGTGATTAGCCGCTTATGTAGGTGATAAACCTTTCACTCGTTTTTATAATTAAACAATACGAAACTCGGCTGGGTACTGGAATTTTCCCGCAACCTGGTCTTTTTATTTTGCGTTGCTGTAGCTACCGTGATCTCTCCTCTGAACTTCTGATTTAATTACAGAGATCGATTTTATGTCAAAATTAGAAAAATAGAGAAATCGTAAGCCTTTGGTTGATTTGTTCGTCTCCTCAAATCTATGTCTGCAGTTTCCCCAAGGTCTCTAGCGACAAAACAAATAGAACGTAACCACCTGTTCCAGTAACAGCAACTTCATGCTGATGTTGACACCTCTCTGTATAGCACATTCAAGAGGGAGGTCTGTGTACAGCGAAACATGCCTATTCTAGGGAGCCAGGTTTTTCGGCGCCCGGCGAACTGAGTGATACTCCACGCCCGATTTAAGCCGTCAGTTTTTAGTTAGAGGGAAAAACCGAGAAAAACTCACATTATTTGAGGTTATGAGGTTAAGCTGCAGCTGATTGGCAGCTTTTTCGGGATTCTCGATGTAAGCTCTTGAAGTAAGGGAGGTACGGTACACCCGGCAATGTAATTGGCAGACGCCGGGTACATTGTTGTTCAGTCTGTGACGGTAACTGTTTAAATGAGTCGAGTATCCGGATCGAAACCGTACAAGTGTACGTCTGGTATTCCGCTCAAGTTTACCTTCGCTTGCGTATACAGGTGGCAGTATTCTGCCAAGTAGCTTAGTTTTTCGTTGAGAAACTTCTGTACTTCTGATGCGTGGCTTCGTTTCTTCCTCTGACATAATCATCCTTAGAGATGATCTCCTGGTTTTCGATAAGCACGCGTTTAGGGTCGGGTTTTCAAAACAGGGGCGGATCGGAGCTTCGCAATATTTTCGATACAAGTAAAACATTGCATTGAAAGAAGTTGAGTAGAAAGAAAAGAAGTCATTTTTTGAAAAATTAAGCTGGAAATGTGATTAAGCTGGGAAACTAAAATCTTAACTACAAAAATTTCATACCTTTGCATCGGATTAGGCTCAAAAACAGCCTTAGCAAACAATGAGAAGTAATGACGGAGCCGCAACATAGGCTAAAAAATTTATCAACCCTCGTCAAGCCGAAAAAGAATCTGAAGTGAAAAATAATAAAGCTGAAAACATGTTTTTTTTTTCAGAGTACCACATATTTTTGAAAAAGAAAATGGACGTTACCAGTTACAAGGGAGCGTCTTTCAATCCTTTTTTTGTTTGAAACGAAAATATCAAATTTGGGAGGTTCGTTTTCCAGAAAAGCCAAGAGGTTCAAAAACGGTCACAATTTCAAAAAATTGACTTTTCGGAGGACAATAACACTTTTGAGAAAAATTCCGCTAGGATTACTCGGTGTTGTGGAACAAACGCAACAAGACATCAAACACAAGAAATAGCATATAAGGTAAATATTATTTCAAAATTACTAGATATTTGTCAATCTACAAAACTCAACAAAGAAGTATCAATAAAAAAACTGCCAATATCATTAACCAAGCTTTTAGTAATTTCCGAGCGTTCAACAAGACAACAACGTGTGGCTAGACGTCAATTGATCCGACAACAAAAACTGCCAAAGGAAATTATTGCCAAAACTGCCAAAGTCTAAAGCTTCATGAGAAACTCAAAACTGTCTTTAGTGAAAAAAAAATTTTTCTACAAAGTTTGAAACAACTATCCGTTATCCTGGATCAAGGTAGGATGCTCGCTCTGTCCCTCTGCGACCGGTAGAGAGAGCAGCTGTAGTCGTATTTCTACACTTGAATATTAAATCAGCCTATTTTTAATTATGTCATTAACTGAGAAGAAAAAAATTTTTATGATGCATTCTTTTTTTTGAACAATGTTTTTTTTTTCATTCAAAATTTTTGATTTTCTGTTTCACCTATACTAAAAGCAGTCACATTACATGCCAGGTTATAGCAAAAACATGGTTGCTAACATTTTGAAATTTTTGATTAGTTTTTTGGTAATAGTTCAAATTAAAATTTGTCAGAGCTTTGTATAATTTTTGTTTCTGTTAGCAAAATTAATTGAGCATTGGCGGTTGCACATAAAGGGCGCAATGCTGATGCGAATGCATAGAGGTTCACGTCTTTGCTTGAGGGTATGATATGGATGCGTTTTAGTTTTGTAGATTTACAAATATCTAGCACAATCAGGTACTAGTGGTGGATTTTTGTTTTGGGTTTTTTGTGAAACCAAAACAATCTACAAAACTCAACAAAGTATCAATTAAAAAAACAGCCAATATCATAAACCAAGCTTTTAGTAATTTAAGAGCGTTTAACAAGCCATTAACATAAGGTTAGACGTCAATTGATTCGACAACAAAAAATGCTCGAGCCTGAATCAAGAATTTTCCTGAAAAAAAAAAAATTTAAAAAAATCATTGCGGCCACCTTCATGGACTCATAAACACTGGAAAAAAAGAAAAAAACGGCAAACAAATCATCGCGACACATTTATTTGACATTCACTTCAATCTATTACAATTTAGAAAAATTTGGGAAAACTTGTAAATTTCGTCTTTTTGATTTTCCTCATTTATAAGCAACAGGCAAATTGATGAGGTTGAATACGTAAAACTGAAGTTTTTTCTATGTAAAATAATGTTGTGGTCTCTTTTGTATTAATTACTTTGTTTGGTTTATCTGACCATGACATTGAAGCAGACGCACTCCTGCGGAAAGAAACTGTTCTATAAAATACGAACAATGAATGAACGGTACTCCAGTCTTCCCAGCAGATGGGGGGGGGGGGGAGCGAACGTGTGTTTTTGCCAGAATGGAGGTACTCCCCTCATGCCAGATTCGTTAGATGACTGCGCCATATTAAAACGTTTAAATAGATTACCCACTAAAACGCTAACCAGACTACTTAAGATAAAAAGAAAACGAAATGATATAACTGTTTTAAGTGTTCTATAAAATACGAACAATGAATGAACGCTTAAAACAGTTTTATCATTTCGTTTTCTTTTTATCTTAAGTAGTCTGGTTAGCGTTTTAGTGGGTAATCTATTTTAACGTTTTAATATGGCGCAGTCATCTAACGAATCTGGCATGAGGGGAGTACCTCCATTCTGGCAAAAACACACGTTCGCTCCCCCCCCATCTGCTGGGAAGACTGGAGTGACATAACTCAATTCGTATTGATAGCAACAGAAAACATGGAATAGATATAGACAACCTTATCAATCCTTCGGATCGAAAAACAGCAACTTCAGCTATATTCGAAGAAACCCCAGAATCAGAAAACGCTCAGGACAAAGCAGCAAGACTAGCCAGGAATCTCGAAGAAAAAAGAAGATACGAAGATGAAGAAAAAGCAGAAATCAAAGCGAAGCTAAAAATATTTGGCGATATGAGACAAGAAGAAGCGGAAAAGTAAATCAGGTCCATGCTGTTCCTGGCCTTAGGAACCGAAGGCAAAAGAATCTTTGCACCGAAACTCAGTAAAGTGAAAATACTTCGGATTAAATTTCAGGAGGTTTGGGGTTATTTTAACCTTGTTTTTATCAAAAAGGCGAACATCTCTTTTGAACAGCACAAGCTGTTGGATAAAAGACAATGAATACGGAAAAGACTGGAAAAAATATGGGGAGCACTTACGGAAATGGCCAAAAAGTGTGATATATCCAGCGGAGAAGAGTGGATTCGGGATAAATTCATCAACAATGAGAAATTTTGATCTCCAGAGGAAAATGTAAACCAAAACACTCGCACTTCATGGCGCATCAAAATTGGCGCTCGTAGAGGAGAAAGGGATAGCTAACCATCTCAAAATGACCAACACCACAAAGACCCAGACTTTTCATTCAAACTTACATCGGTTTTCAAATACAAAGAGAGAACCAGCCCTACACATAGAAAAGGAAAACTCTTGTCTGAAATGCGGCCGCAAGTTTACGAAAAGACACATCGCAGTATGTCCGGTTAAAGATGCACATTGTACAGCTTGTAACTTCAAGGGCCATTTTACGAAAACTTGTAAATCTTGAAAAAATGTGAATATTGTCGACAATTATAATTGTGCAATTAATGATGTACAGCCTCCAATTCAGCAATCTGCAGATAACTCTGTAAGTAGTCAGAGGGGTTTTTGTGGCTTAATCAAAGCATGGAGAGAAGCTCGACTTAGAGACATGAACGACTACTCAATTTTAAATGTAACCACGATTTTTGATTCAAACTGAAAAGAATCGAGGAAATTGTTGAACATTGTCTTAGGAAAGGAGAACCTAGTGCACATGAATATCCATGTCGACTCAGCCAGCACAGTTATTTTGCTAAAAATGCCACGAATTGAAATAAATAGACCCGTACCTAAAAAAACTCTCAGTTGAACAAGCAACAGATGACCTCTACAGCGGCTTTACAGACGACGCAATAAAAATAATTGGAGAGATAGAACCTCCAATAAGATCCAACGAAAGCCACAATTTTTATAACGGGAGAACGTGATATAAATAAATTATTAGGAAACGACAATGTTCCGAAGATGGGCATAGAAGTTACACAGAAGGCTTTCCCGTATCTGAAATCGGATCCGTCATCAAGAAAGAGTCAGTCAAACTTACCGGTAAACAATCAAGACAAATGTTAACCAAGATGAATATATCGCACAAAAAATCAAGATTTTATTCGAAAAGATCGAGAAAAAAAAACCCAATCAAAAATTACACATTTCCGAAGTCCCCTAAAACCAATACAACTAAAGGGGAGAAGGGTTCCTTTACACTTACTTCCGTCAGTGTCCGCTGGATATTAACTGGGGCTCCCAAAAATACATTTTACACTTTGTATAGACAGATTTTCTAAATTCTCTGCAGCTAAAACTACCTCGTCCACTTCAGCTAAACCTATTGTTCAATTTCTCCAAGATTACATTCATTTACATGGCATTCCGAAAAACATCAGAGTTGACTACGCCACATGCTTTATAAGTCAAGAACTCAAAACAGTTTGCGACTCAAACAAAATCGATATAAAATTTTGTACAGTGGGCGATCATAGATCTAATGGATTAGTCGAAAAATTAGTTCACACAGTCAAAAAACAAAATTACCAACAATGTCATCAGAAACTCCAAAAGCATCTCTAAACGAAGCCTTGTCGAAAATTATTTGAAACCTACGCAACACGAGTCAATCAACTGCACTCCCTTCGAGAAACACTACAACAGAAAACCGAATACTTTGCGAAAACATTAGTGGATAAAGTTCCAAAACATTGTTTATATCAAAGAAAGTCGGTTCTATCGGATGCTCGAGTGAAGAATGGGGTGGGTGGGGGGGGGGGACGTTAATATCGAAGACGGATATCTGGATTCACTGATAGACAAAAGGAACAAAGATCCGTCGGAAAAGGGCTACGAATCGGATCCTATTTCCTCGCCAACAAAGAAGCCACTATCCAAAATTCAGAGACATGCTTTGACAGGCCCCGCAAAGAAAGGTAAACTTTTCGAAAAGTTACTGACCGAACAAAAACGGAGAACCATATTACCGCGAAAATTAGTGCATCCGAATCTACAGTCAGACTAGCAAAATCTTAAGAAAATCCGACATCGCCTGGCTAAAACCCGACGGACAGAAACTCCTGAAGTTTAAAGGAAACTACATAACCTTGTTTTAACAAAATTTTCCCAGCAGGCGCTCACTTATTCCGAAGGAGGAAACCTGGACCAAAACCCCCGTCTTCTTCACCAAACACAACATCCTATACGAGAAAAACCCGATGATCAAACCAGACAAAGAGGGAAGACGGCCCAAGCAGAAAACTAGAACACAATCTAAACGGAAGACCAAGACCTCACCTACAGGTTATTTAGGGGAAGATGAATCTTTTTTCTTACCTTTTCATCCTTAGGATTCGTGCGAGTGGGAGTGGACTATTGGAGGATTTCCTCGTAAAAGGTTGGTAGAGAACATTTTATTAACATGGAACATACTAGACAGCAAGAGGGAAACAATCTAAGGTATAAAAACTCAAACCCTAATATTGAAGGGTTTAAGACTTACGTGAAGAAGAAAGAGTAACACTGCACAACACTATTCCTGATTGCCCATCTCAATAGTACCGGCCCCATCGACTGCATAGAACATTCAAAGCACGTCCGGAACAGCCCTCGAAGATAGACTAATTCCGAAACCCGAGATGTCTCCACAGTGGAATTGCTAAGGGAGAGCGATTCAGATTTCCCTGTGTACGAAATCTAAAGTGACATCCCAGGTGCCTACTTTGATACTTCACGTTGGAAGTGGGAATTTCGGTCCTCCAAAATTTTATGGTAACCGGATATATATATTAGATTTTATAGATACAGCGAAACCACAGTGATCCTGGTCAAACCCAGTGTTACTCGAATCCAGCGTGCCTGAGACTTGCCATTGAAGCGGAAAGACACCACACCATACCTTAGTAGCCGGAACAATCGAGACAATTTCCGATTCATCCAGCGGAGACCCTCAACTGACAGTGGCCGAGACTGCGGATTCACACATTGGTTCACAAAAAAATTCAATGAATATCCACGACACCCCTCTGCAACAATCAGTACCTGACGAGGAGGAATTGTTAATACCTCTTACTAAGATAAAATCGGGAAACGAGATCGAAGTCAATTAGTGAGAGCCAACCACTGTCACAAGTAGAGGAGTTCATTAGAGACTAGAGACAAAAAAATAGCGAGAGAACTTTCATTTTGAAAACTTGATTCAAACTTTTTATGAACTTACTTAGAGTTATTGATTTAATTTCGTAATCTCCGTTGGAAAAGTGATTTACCATTGACTCGAGACATAACCCCATGCCTTTCATTAATCTAGCGTATCATATGTTACAACTTTCGTTGACTATTTGTTAAGTAACCCACCGATATATCCTTTGGACATATCAGATATAGATTTTTAATTTACTATTGCTGTTTTTACCGTAATCGCAATCGTTAACTTGACCTAATTGCTATTTAGTTGTGACTTCTTAATTTAATTTTTCTTTCTTTCTCCAGTTGTTTGGCGAAAGGCTATGTGTAGTAATTTATAAAATAATTAATTTGAATTTTTCCTAGCGAGGGAACTGTTGTGATGTCTTTTATATTAATCACTTTGTTGGTATATCTAACCTTGACCTTGCAGCATACGCACTCCTTCTTTATAGAAAACTTAAATACAGTTTTATCATTTCATAATTTTTCATCTTAGTTAGTCTAGCTAGCGTTTTAAGTGAGTAAACTATTTAATGAACTTTAAAATTTTAGTACACTTTTTTTCGAGGCTGAGCAATTCTTTCAAATTGCTCAGTTCCTTTGAAAACATGAGCCTGTGTTGCTTGAGCCATTGAACAAAAAGGTCGTCGGTTCGAATCCCACTTCGGTCAAGGTTGGAGCGTTCCCAGTGTCAACCGCCTCTTCCAGGTCGGAACAGCTGCGGGAAAATGGATGACATCTCTCCCCCACGGAAAAACGGTCCGAGGCTGAAAGGTGGGAGCTGGGCCAGGGGTTAATGAAAAAACAAAAAAGGTCACAAACTGTTTTTATGAACAGTTAATTTCCGAATTGCAGGCTCAAAAATGCTCAGTAGTTGCTCGCTCATTTGAAACTGGTATTATATGGCATAGGAAAAACTGAAGTTTTTTTCATGTAAAACATTAAAATTTTTAGTACACTGTTTTTGAAGGCTGAGCAATTACTCAGTTTCTTTGAAAACATAAGCCTGTGTTGCTAGAACGCGGTCCTGAAAGGGTAATCTAGGTTAAAATATAAAAACCTGTTGTTGAGTTTGTGCAGCTGCGTGGAGTATTGCCTGTTCTCCTGGCCCCTCCAAGCCTCGTAGTTGCGTACAGTGTCCGCAGTTGGCTTTTTCCACGTGGTGGTGCGTGAATTGTGGTCCACGTAGTAAACTCTGCCTTTGCTGTCCACTTGCTCCTCCCACCCGGGTGGCAAGGGAGAAGGGCGCGTCCAAGTGGTTGTCCTGTTTTTGTGGTTCGCGTAGTAAGGCCTGAAACAAAAAAAAATGTTACTGAGGCCAAGCTGCATATCCCAAACAAACACACACGGCAGAAAAGAGCTCTAAAAATTGAATAAATTTTACACAGAGGCGAAGCGGAGATTCGCATCATCTGCGACAGAGCAAAAGCGTAGCATTGCGTGCTTGCAAATAGTGAGTGAGATGGAAATAACTAAGTCGGAGAAACATTTTGAGTTTTTGGAAATGCAATCAACCATTTTTTGGAAATACGAAAATTCAATCGCGCAAAACAGACAAGAAGAACAGCCAATAGTATAAAATAAGCGCTTAGTAACTTCCGAGCGTTCAACCAGCTAACATAAGGTTAGACGTCAATTGATTTGATAACCAAAAATACCAGAGGAAATTATTGTCATAAAAAAATTTGAGCGATTACAGAGTTCGAACTTTCAACTTATGGCCAGCTGAAACTTGGAACCTTCAATTTTTGAATTTCGAAGAAAAAAATAGACGGCCTTAAACCTCTTTGAATTTTTAGAACAATTTATTTATCATTGACCTTGTTTTGTCAAAAGTAACCCGATTTGAGAAAACTCGATCAATAGGTAAAACATTTATTTCACTGGGAAATCTGATAATTAATTTCCATTTTCGAAATTAGAAGTCGATCACTTTTTCGTGGCCATTACAATGATGCTGGTTGTTTGATAGTGGAGTTTGACTTCCTTTTAACAATGAAAATTCACCAACCTTTAAAAAAAATCACGAGTTTAACCGCGAAAAATCAGAATTGACGGTGAACAAGTTTAAAGACTTTTTCCCGAAAAAAATCACCATGACTTAATTGAAAGTAATCACCTATACATGAGAAAACCATTAGTTGTTTGTTTGATGTGATAGATGATCCACCCAAAACGTATGGATTTATCATCATTTGAAATAATTCTACTTTGTTGGGTGATTGATTTAAATTTGTAACTTGGTTTCGACTAACTTCATGTTGTAAATAATATGGCAATGGTATTTTATTTCTCAATGACTCTGGATGGTACCTTGAGTATGCATTGTATAATATTGTGTTTGCGTATTATAATTTGGTTGTGAAGAATTTGATTTCCTAGGTTATTTAGTCTTTTGAGAATGACTTTTTTGTTTGGTCCAAGTATGGTCCAGAAATATCTGATTGGTAAATATTATCTGATTCATCAATAGTGTTCCTTTGGTATTTTATTTGATTAGAATTATGTTGTTGTTGTTGTTCATTCCGATGGAAATAATCTTCATCTTCTGAGAAGTGAGACAGATTTCTGTTATTGAAATGTCCGTTAGTTGGATAGTGTTTATTTTGTTGAAAAATGGATAAAATTCAGTGTGATCTGTTTGAGTTTTTCGTTTATCGAGAAAGCTGACTGACGGTGGTTTTGAACGTTTAGGTCGTTGCTGATCATAGTTGTGCTCAAGAGATTGTGATTGATTTGTCTGAATTGGATGTGCTATAGGATGACTTAAATTAATGTTTGCAAAAAAATCATAGTTATGGTTTGCGTAGTGGTTTTCACCTTTGTTTTTTTTGGTCGTCTTTTGGTCGTCTTTTGACTATTGGTCTGTATGTTTGATATTTCAGTTGAGGGTATTTGGAAAAAAAGTTGGTATAGCTGTTGATTGTAATGCTGTTTTTGGGAACGGTGTGTTGTTTTCATTAAGTGGTGTTGTCATTGTTGGGTGAATAGGTGAGATACTTGTTGTGTTGTTACTGGTACTGTTGTAAAGATTTCTTCATTGGTAAAGTGCGATGGTGTTTAAATATCTTGTTGGTTTAGTGTGGTGGTTTTATTCAGGTTTTCTTGTGTATGCATGCATGTTGAAATTGCGATATTATTGGTATGGTTGTTGTATCGGTTGTATTGGTTGAGACTTTGTATGGTTGTTGTATCGGATTCTGAAAATGTTTTTCGGTTCTTAGAAAAAAAAAATTTTTTTTAGATATGTTTTTGTTTTGAGATAATAGGCAGCCTTCTTTTTTGTATGTTTTCTCGATCTAATATATCGTAATTTTTGTGTAAGTGTAGGAGAGCAAGATCGTATCTTTAGTCTTCAATTATGCAATTGTGTAAAAATATTGCTTGTTAACAGCTTTTGACGTAAGTGTCAGGATGATTGATGCACTATCTAGGTGATAATTGCTATTTCATAAACCGTTAGTTCTTACTGTTTTTTTTGAGGTTATCCTAAATCCTCGGGTAGTTTTGTCCTGGAAAGACATGTTGAGGAGAGAGTATACCAATTCGATAGAAGGATGTTTTACTGCTCTCAAACGTATGTGGAGTTTTCTGCATTTAAAATATCTTTATCTTCCTTGAATTGGGATCGATATGAGATCGAGGGTTGCAGAATAGTAAATCAATCCACAAGGTTCAGGTATAATTAGAATACAAGTAAACCGTATGATACCGTTTTAGAGCATAGAATTGTAAGTGTTTTTATAATCCTCGGTCAAATAGGAGTAACTTAATCCAATTTCATGTGTTTGTATTGTGTGATGGTGCCTCATTGATATCTGGTAATAGAATTTCGATGATGAATTTAACATATTGTGAAGTAATGTTACATATGCTTGGTAGGTGATGGTTTAGTATCTCTATTTTTAATTTTAGTTCTGGAAATTCCAGTTGGCCTCGGCTGTTGCCTTTTCGAAAAAAAAAATAAGATGAGGTTGGGACAAATTGTACTTGTCAGCGTAATTCGTCACTTGTGAGATTTATGACAAATGGTAGGATAGAACCTTCCACGAAAATATCGTCGTATCTAATCATTTTTAAGAGCTATTACTGTAAATGTGTAACTTTCAATATGTCGTATAGGTTGATTCCAAGTGTATGTTCCTACTGGTTTTCGGTTATAATTTTTTTATTCGACGTTTACTTTACATTTATGATGCTATTGTTGCTTCTGAATCGTAAAAAATTGTTGTTCAATTAATTGTTTATTTTGATCGTTTGTTTGATTTTGGTGATATTCGAGACTTTGTATGGTTGTTGTATCGGATTCTGAAAATGTGTTTCGGTTCTTAGAAAAACGATTTTTTTAGATATGTTTTTGTTTTGAGATAATAGGCAGCCTTCTTTTTTGTATGTTTTCTCGATCTAATATATCGTAATTTTTGTGTAAGTGTAGGAGAGCAAGATCTTGTCTTTAGTCTTCAATTATGCAATTGTGTAAAAATATTGCTTGTTAACAGCTTTTGACATAAGTGTCAGGATGATTGATGCACTATCTAGGTGATAATTGCTATTTCATAAACCGTTAGTTCTTACTGTTTTTGTGAGGTTATCCTAAATCCTCGGGTAGTTTTGTCCTGGAAAGACAATTTGAGGAGAGAGTATACCAATTCGATAGAAGGATGTTTTACTGCTCTCAAACGTATGTGGAGTTTTCTGCATTTAAAATATCTTTATCTTCCTTGAATTGGGATCGATATGAGATCGAGGGTTGCAGAATAGTAAATCAATCCACAAGGTTCAGGTATAATTAGAACACAAGTAAACCGTATGATACCATTTTAGAGCATAAAATTGTAAGTGTTTTTATAATCCTCGGTCAAATAGGAGTACCGTTCAAGTGAAAGATGAGTAACCGAAGTTCTTCACTGTTAAGCTTAATTAAAATGATAAGTATATTACAAAAAATTCGGTTAATCCTGCGTCGTTTGAAAATGTTGGAGAGTTAATCGGTGTTTTAGGTCAATAGTTAATTGATTTAAAGGGTATGTTTTAATTTGAAAGGAAAAACTTGAGAGATCCAAGGGAAGCCTGGGTAATCTGGTTTCGCGAGAGATTTGATGAAAAGATTTCAGATTAAAGATAAAAGGAGAAGCTTTGATGATCTGATTTAGAAATTACAAGTGGAGATTTAAGGATTAAAATTAAAAATCAAGAATTGAAATTGAAAATCAAGGAGAAGCCTTGATGATTGCATATTTCAGATAAAATTAAAATGGTTAAAGATCCAAGAAAGGTCTTGATGATCTTATATTTGATTACATTAGAACTTGAACTTTTGATTGTTTTACGAAAGAATAATAAGAAAGGATGATCCTCGAGAAGAGGAAGTATCGTCAAACAATCAACAATTAATTTTTACACTAATATTTGATTGTATTTTGTTTTTTTAAATGAATTTACAAATTTTACTTGAACTTATGGAAAAATTTACCTCTGATTTAAAGTTTTAAGGTAGGCTAAGTTTTTTTTCAGCGTTTTGTTGTTTTTAAAATACATTATTAGTATTTGCATATTATTCCAAGATATTGCTTAGGAAATCAATTTTACGTGCGCTTTTTTGCTCTGTGATGCACGTATTTGGATTATCGTCTTTTTTGTGATCCGATGTTGTCTTAAGTATTGGCTCGGCTTGATTAGAATTATTGAGTCGTGGAAATCAGCTAATATTATCATTGATTGTTTCGTCATGTTTTTTTTTCTAAATCTAGTTTGTTTAAATCTAAATTAGTGTAGGTCTGCTCGAGACTCGTTCTCAAATAGTTAACTCATACAAGTAAAAGATTCGTGCAACTTCTTAGTCTAATACCGATCCTGATCTTACTCTTATAATTCCTGGTCTCAAAATATCTTGTATATACTGGTAATCTTGCGAGGTAGGAGGAGAAAAAGAGGCAACTGATTTCTAAGCTGAATTATATTTTCTTTGGCTGAAACAATGAATAGTTTCAGCTCAATTATATATCATTAGTTTTAGTATTGGATCATAATTAGCAAGTTCTAAAAAAAATTACAGTGATAAATAACATAGTATATAACGAATAAGCTGAAATAAAATTAACTTTGACAAGATTCTTATAACAAATATTCAACTATCATCAAATTTATTTGAAAAAAAAGCCGATCGAAGGATCTGACACGATTCTCGACGGAGTTATAAAGGTGCCCTTTGAATTATTTAGGCAAAAAAAAAGTAATTCCACGATAGAAAATGACGTCATTAAACTTTCAACTTTATAGAACAGTAAAAGT